ATTATATTATATTATATTATATTATATTATATTATATTATATTATATTATGTAAATATTTCCTGACATTCCTGACAATGAGAGCCTCATTTTAAGTGACAAGAAAATCCGTAAGAAAAAATTTCAGCTTAAATTTCTTTTTTTTAAATACATCACCTGTGCTTTGTTAACTATTTTCTAGCTGGTTTTAGCAATTTTTACAGAAGCGTTTACTGAGGCATTGAAACAAAGGCTTTTTGCAATTCACTATTAATTTTATCGTTGCCATTACTGTTGGAAGCAGCATTACCCAGTAGCCCATCATCCAGATTATTATCTTAAAAATTCCAGTTTGGACTATAGGAATAAGCCTGTTATCAAAAAGAGGAATCCTCTTGAACTTCTGCGTTCCATCAGTTGTGACTCGCTCACAAAAATTTCACAATTTCTCAGTTAATAAAGACAATATAACCATAAAGCGCTAATTTTGATATATTTATCATTACTATTACTTTCCATCGTTATTACTGCTATCGTTTTTATTATTATTATTACTATTATATCTTATCAAAACAATAATTTTGGATCCACACGAAGTTTTCTTATTGAATGCGCGAATTTTCTCCATAAAGGATGTTTATACAGACGAAAACTAAAAACTTCACAGAAAATCATATAATTTGATGGCTATTTCTGAGTAAGCAAAGTAAATGGTTGGTGTTCACCATTTCTGGTAGGCTGACCTTGCTATTCTAGTAAGACTGGAAATTTTTATCAGACAACTGGCGATAAAGTATAATTGTTATCACCACTCATATTTTTTAATGACAAATTAACTGCTGAGGGCGAATATTCGCGCCTCCAAGCACGATAATCTGAAACAACTCGGCTACTCGGCTAGCCTCATCTCTTCGATGGTTAATTGATATAGTAATAAATGCTTTTTCTATTCAATAATATAAGTTCGGTAGCAAGTTCTTTATTTTTGTATTTTAGAAAAGAAATAGCGCTTGAAAATATCGAAATAAATATTTCATATACAATATAGATAAATGAAATGAAAAAGTTTGAAGAAAAATGGAAAATATTCTCAAGCAGTGGCACAATTATATATTTACTAATATATTTGTGTGCTATTATTATATTATTCATAATAAAATGGATATTTAGGTGCAAATTTTCTGTCACCGAACTGTATATTTTCTTTGCCTTTCATTATATCAACTTCACCGAAATGAGATTCTCTGCAAATAATATTTTATAAAATCATCTTATATTAGACAAATTATTGAAGAAATTTAAGAAAAAAATGATGTCAAATGATGTTGAAGGCTCGCAAATACTTCTATCTCCAAGTGACTCTCTGCTAAAAATGTCTCATTTCTAATAGCCTGAATGCTAATGGAACAGAAAGAAGGATTAAGGGAAAATGAACAGATAAAAAAGAGGAAAATTATATTTTCAATATAAATTCAGTAATTAATTTCTCTTTTAAAGAAAACATTATTTCAAATGATGAGAAATTATTCTTAAATATCATTATCATTCTTAAATATCATTATTTATTATTATTGTAAAGCCAGTTTTCACACTAATTTTTTTGAAAATTTTGAATTTTTTTTGAAACTATGGAAATTTTTTAAGATATACAAAATACTCAATATATACAAATATACTCAACATACAAAATTTTTCAAAATTATAGTTATTTGTCATAAAAATTTATTGCATTAATATATAATGGATTTATCGTTAAATAATATAATTTAATGAGCAAATATTTTAATAAATTATCAATTTTAATGCAGTGAATATGGGGAATTTTATAAGCTGTAGAAATAAAAACTCTTTGGAGGTCAACAATAATTTTTAAGAGTATAAGTGACCCAAGGTCAGCGAAACATTTTGAAACCATTGTATACTATATAAAAATGTATGCTATATAAAACATAAGTATTTTTACACTATATAAAAAGAAATTTTAAAAGAAAATGTTCATGCTTTAAAATCGTGTTACATTAAGTGCTAGCGCTCAACATTTCTTGTTAGCCTAGCTGTACTGGCTGTAAGTGGATTTGGAAATTTTTGCTAGGATGTTAGTCGATAATAAAAGTACAAATAGATTGCCAGAAAACTCGAAATTACGGGTTTACTCTTATCGGAAGCAATTCACTTAGCTATCCTGTCTCTACTATCGCCAATTTATGGAAACAAAGGGAAAAACTAACTTTTGCAAAATTTTCATTGATTCGATAAATCATCAAAAAAAACTTTCATAAAACTTACCTATAATAAGGATTCGGCAACATTGGATAAAGGTCACTGATTATTGAACTTGGCATTCGCATTTTTTTCCTATTCGAATTATAACAACTAGAAAGAAGAGTTGGTTCAATATCCTTAGAATTACTAGCCATTTGCTTATTTCTGATCGTCTCTTTATTCTAAAAAAAACAAAGAAATACTTCTATTTTAATTTTTTTTGATTCGAAAAATGAAAAGAACTAAAATATTAGTGCCCTTATTTAAGAAAAAAAAATGAAAGAATTTTAAGCGACAAACTTTTAAGGTCAAATTTAGGTTATTTTGAAAGCCAATGATGGATTCTACCAAGGAATTTAAGGAATTAATATTTATTAAAGGTTTGCATATGGAAAAAAAAGCATATTGGACGTTAGAAATACAAACTAAAGCCTGTTAAAACTTGAAGGTTACCCCCTATGGAATTATAAGGAAAACGGAAATCGATAAAGCATTAAAAAGCAATTATAAGTCCAGCCAAGTTAAGAAGAATGTTAAAGAAAAACCGAAAAAGAAAAGAAAGCAAAAAAATTTATCACAATTGATTTTAGATCCATTTTTTCTTGATGATTATTATCTGTTTGAGCACTATGCCTATTCAATCTGTCATTTTCAGCCCGTTCAATAATACTTGGTAATAATGGAATAGTTCCAATTCGAATTGGAACAGAAGTTATCACATTAGCGACCTAAATACCTAAATTATGCAGTACGTAGATATATAATAAAATAATAGTAAAAATAAAAATAAAAATTATAAGAATTATAATAAAAATTAATTATAATAAAAATTCTTGGTGGTACTAGGATCCACTTGTTCCTCTATCACAAATGACTCTCTGGAAAGTGGATCTCATGTGGGCAATCAATCAGCACTACCCTTACCCTTCACTACCCTTTCGATTAGAAACTCATCAAGTATAGCCACATAAAACAAAAAAGTTTTTCGTCAAAATAGTTTGATGAAAATAGTTTTTGAGCTAATGAATATGAATATGAGAAATACATTCATTATTTTCAAAGGCCATAAAAGTAGTTAGTTATAGTAGATGAAAATGGAAAATTTTACCTGAAGTTGCAACGAATAATAAATAGAAATAATTTTGCAAGTACCAAGTGCAGGTGGAACTGACGGTATGACAATCGTTCTTTCATTCCAGTTAAAAGACTTTCGTGCATTTATTTCGCTAATATCTTTTTTTATTACCACTTTATCAACTGATCTCACATATTCGCCACCGGCAAATGTTTTTGCTCTAAGTTCAAGATATTTATCAAAATAACAACGATAAAAACAACTTTCCTATTATATGAAAATTAATTATTAAACATATGAATAAAATGGCAGAAAAACATTGAAAAAAATTTCACTGCCATTAAAATTTTATATTTGCAATCTGATATTTGAAATTTGATATTTGAATTTATTACACATAAAATATTTTGAAGGGCAGGATAGTCGAGTGGATAATGGTTCAGATGGTAATAAATTGATTGGTAGAAAGTAGAAGAGAGAAACATTCTTCTATTTTTTAAAAAAATAGAAAAATAGACAAATTCATACGTCTTTAATAATTAAATAGATCAAACGAATAAAAACCAATAAATTTTGGAGACGAGGGAGATGAAATTATCGTATACTGATGAATGCGGGACTCCTAAAAGCCTAACACCTAAAACGATCTAAAAAACTTATAATGACTAGTACAACATAATCATCATCGAATAGCACTCATCATTTCTGGTTTGGCTGATTCTCTTAACTGTTATGAGTGAGGAAATACATTTGAGAATAGATGAGTAATGATAGAGTAATTCTTGGAGTTGGCAAACAACAAACTCAGCACTGAAGCATCGTTGTGAACCTTATAGATACTACTCCACCATTCTACCTCGCATACGAAAATTTTATTAAATATAAAAATTACAAGAACTTACTTGTAATTAACCGTTTGTACGAATTTTATGCAAGCTTTTAGTGTTTTGTAACTATCATTTCGAACTGCAATATTCAAACAAAACGATTCGCCTGGTGTAAAACCGGTACGTTCTAAATGCATTTCAGCTAATATGGATCCTTGATTTCGACAACAAAAACGAGCGAAAGAATTGCACTCTGATATTTTTGCTGGCTGTAAAACCTGGAATTAAGTTTTCTTATACCATTCTTATATCATTGGAATCGTGCAATTTAATCGAATTGCTGTAAAATTTATCAAAAGATCTGCAAAGAATGCTCATCAATAGTTTTAAAGGTTTTTTTCCATTCAACATTTCTGGTTTGGTTGATTAAAAAAATGAGAAACTTTCGCCAGAGAAGCACCTGCATGAATATAGAAGCAGGAATGGGTGACCTGTTCCATTCGGGTTTCATTGTTAATGAGAATGGAATTTCGAAGTTTAAAAGAAATTCTCTCTAAAAAATAATGCCTTAGGATCCTCATTGATATCTTCAATACCAATCACCGAAAACGCTTTTTTGCAGACAATGTCAAAATCCCATGGTCGCTCACAGGTAGCTTTACACGTATATCGAATGAAACCGAATTCGCCTTCAAAAGAAGTTGGCAAATTCTTCGGTAGTATATATGAAAATGGAATTTCGTGGTAACCTTCAGGAAGAATTCGACCCTAAAAATATCAAAAATATTGATAACATTGCATTCAAATCACTAAAATATAAATAAAAATGTTAAGAAAATATTAAGAATAAAAATTAAATAATATACCATAAATACCAACAATTTATTAAAAATTGTAATCACTTTATTCAATGTTGTTTTCAATAAATTAATTTTATTTTTAATTAAATCAAATTTTTAAAATTCTATTTCAAAATTTTCTGCAATTTTTTTCGAAAATTACTTCTTTGATATCCAATGATGCTCTCGAAAATTTATGAGTATAACAAGTATTAAATTGTTCACAAAAATACGGCTCTGCTGAACTGCAGTGTTTTCGTGACTGACCTAGAATTTTTATATTTTTTTATCTAATATTTTAATATTATAGAATTTTTGTATTTTATATTTTTATCTAATATTTTAAAGACAATTGCAGAGAACGTCCATTTTTTTTCAATTAGTATGAATTATATAATATATAAAAACAGTTTTGGAATTTGAAAAGAAAATTCGGTTTCAAATATTTTCATGAATTTCTTGCGAAAAAATTGATTCAGAAATTTTATTTAATAAATTTTAGTTAAGGATGAAAATAATAATTCTATTTTTGTTTTCAAATAAACTTACCTGAATGTTTAGTCCAATAGGTTCTTGCGCGCCCCTTTAATTCCAATAAAATTTCGCTGACTTTTTTTGGTTCCTTATTCTCAATTATCACCTTAAAAATTATTAATAAAGGAAAGAGACGAAACGAGCGAAGAAAAGAGGTAAAATAGTGAAATACTTTTCTAGTCTTTTTTAAGACAGTCTTTTCAATTCGATTGATTTATAACTGAACGACAGACAGTGGTCAGCTCACCACTCAGTTAGGCTTAACTCCGCTGGACCAATTGCTAATATGAATTTTTGGAAAATAAAAATATATTCATGTAAGAATGGCCAACATCATCCGATAATTTAATGATGGTATTCAATAAATCTATTTAAATTTGTACCATTTTAAAAATAATAATCACTACTATCAAGTTGGAACGATCAAAGCAATAATTAAAATATTGTCATTTGCGAGTTTATAAATTTACTAGAAAACTTTTTACTGCATTCAATGAAATCAATAAATCGCAAATTCGAGAATTTTGCCCTTTAGAAATCGAAAGAAAAGGAAAAGTAAGTCTGTGAAAACAATAATTTAATAGAATTTATTTATTATTTTATAAGGAAATAGGTAAGAAAGTTGTTAGAGCTCATCATTACTGGCACGATTAGAAATTTTAGAAGTCTTGGAGGGTCTTGCAGATGGGTCATCACATCATAGACGTTCCGATAGATCCACGGAGAGCAGCAGCGAGACGCAAGCCTCCCAAAGAGAACCCGCTATGCACTCGGCTTTGTCCATAGCATTTCTCGAAAGCTGGCAAAATAAAGCGGAAAACCGATACCTTTCCTGAGACTTCTTGACCGGCAAAATAAGCGCCTTCAATGTTACTAAATTCAATAGCAAATTTATCCAATTTCACCATAATTTATTCCACAAAAGATGTCTTTTAAAATTCTCTCATTCTGAAAACAATTTAAATTTACATGCTAATATTTGCGATAAACAGTCAGTCTCTTTTTAAGCCAACAAATTTCTTATTTCTTCAAGCAAAATCTAAGCGTTAACCATTTCTCCAATAAGCAAATAAATAGGTTATTTGCCAAATACTGAAAAGAAAAATATTAAAATCAATCAGTAATGTAAATAAATATTATTACTATATTTACTATATTTACTGAATTCTTAAAATTTTTCATTTAGAAATGCAATTTTGCTTTTTGAATATATATTTAATTTAACTTAAAGTTGTTTAATGAACTGCAACATATTATTGGCAAATTGGATTCCTTGTAAATAAAAAATAAGCATATTTATCGTTAAAAAATAGGAATTCTAGTGGATTATAGAAGTGCTGACCATTCCAAAATACCATGTCCAGACAGGCAGGGAATCAAATTTCCATAGATTCATTGCAGATTTCAAGCCGATCTAATCGGATGGTACTGGTGACTTGTGTTCTATCTCCAATTGGTTCTCTGGCAGGAGATTTCCCTAAATGGCCATAAATATTTTATTATACATCAGTCAAGAAGTTAAATTAGGAAAAACAAAATAGAAATATATTGAATCTATGGAAACTTTCAATCAAAATACATGAATAAAATTTATTAAGTAAGATCATCAAACGATAGAACATCACTTAATCATTTGATTATCCTTAAACACACTCATTACAACTGAGAAAATTACCAACAGCTAAACTAAATTGAAATATATAAGGCGGATGAAGCAACGATTCACCACTTTTCTTGTGGATTTTTCCGCGAGTACCATTCGTTCTTTCGGCGTTAATCTAATTGCTGAAACCATGTCTTTTTTGCATTCTCTCGAAACATCAAGTACGGTTATCTGCTTATTACAAATCCAAATCCATATTCAAAATACGTCTAGTCCTTAATTATTAGATGGTTATTTCACTATAAATAAGTATTATAAGTGATTAACGCACACTATTTTTGATAGAGTACTAAATAATTGAACATAAATTTATTGAGAATTTCGCATGAGTTTTTCAGCTTTTCGGCAATTTTTTAAGGCTCGCTCCATTGCCTGTTAGAAAGCTCAGAATTTTTGGCGAGGGAATTCGCTTGGTGATAGAATTTGATCAAGCACTACCCGGATTAATTACCCGAACTTATTCGAAGTTGGAGCCGATTTACTGACTCTCAACACGGTGATCTGAGTTGCTAACCAACTTTCCCTTCTCCGTTTGACTGCATGCTGACCAGCTGATTATCCTGGATATCCACAATCTTCATTTAATTCGTTGAACCTAGCACCATCTTCCGTAATGAAAATTTTTGCACACCATCTTACAATCCCTTGTAAGATCGCTTGGATGAAGTCCATTGTTTCTGGATGATACTTTAATATTCATTCATGATTATAGTTGAAGAAACAGTTATGCACTACTGGAAAAGTGCCTGAAGCCAATAATTATTGAAGACAATAATAAAAAAGAAGGGCGCAGAAGTGCTTTCTAAACAACACAAATTTATTGAGAACTTCGCATGAGATTTTCAACTTTCCACGATCAAATGAATTTTTTACGATAAAATGTTATCAGTGTTCTATGTTCTAGCAAGCAACATAAAGCAGTAGCGTTTGATGATTGTTTATAAAGTGGTCTTTGAAATAAATATTATCTGTAGGCGAATTATGGGAAAGTGCAGTGAATATTTCGATATTCTTATCGTGGTGTTAAGCTGCGCTTCTATCCTTGAATGACTCTCTGGCGAACGAAAGCCTTCCTAATGGCCACACATTAACTAGTGGAGCCACTAAAAGCAGCGAAGATATTATTAATAATGAATGCATTTCATTGATTTCTACTCTATTTTAAAAGAAAAATGAAATTTCACGATAATTTAGTTAGCCAAGATCATTTTGTTCTTTATTCTGCATGAAAATAGCAACAAATCATAATATAATATTTTAGATATATTTTTTAAAAAATCTATTATATGATATAATTAAAGGATTGATAGGGGTAGGATAGCAGAGTGAGCAGTGAATACGTTTTAGAAAATTTCGGTTCGTCCGATAGAGTAGACTGCCATTTAAAAAGCCGGCGACTTGCCTGTTCCTCTGTCGCTAGTGATTTCCTGGCCGCACCAACAGCCAATGCAACGAATCTTGAGACTGAGCTATCAGAGTTATTTTTCAATAAAACCAAATAAAAGAACTGCTCATAAAACGGATTTTCCTGGCGTGAATGAAGGGAGTCTCGACGAATTGATTAAAAAATAGAAATTTTATAACCAAAAGATTATGTCCAGCGCAACTAGTTAAGCTATAGCAAAACGGAGAAGAAATCCAATGAATTAAGGGCAGAAAATTAAAGGATTTAAAAATTTGATTTTTAATAGAATTAGAATTAGTAAGGCCTATTTATTCAAATTCGTCCTTTTTCAAGGAAGATTGACATCGAATGACGGCAACCAAGAATTAAATGGAAAACAATAATTTTCATGAATATACAGATTAAATAAAAAAATTGTGGCATGCGGTGAAAAAATCCCGCATGTCGAGCGAAACCGATTTTTTACGTAAAAATGGATAAAACTGGAATTATTTCAAGCAAAAATTTGTATTTCATTCAACTGCTTATTTATCCTAACAACACTGCACCAAAATTCTAAAATATTAACAACTTCATCAATTATGCTTGTTCCACTTGATTGTTAGTACGATACTTTGCCAGGGAGTCAATTGCGACAGGGAAGTCCATCTGAATTTTTTAATGACAGGTTTAGCCTTGTCGAGGCAAAACACGAGTCTTAATTCTGGAGAGGATAATTGAGCAACAACTCAGTCGCTAGCGGTCGCTTTGTTCAGTTATATATTGATTCCTCTCTACCTATGCATTATATATACTAAACTGCTTAAAATCCTAAAACTATAATTCATAAAACTAAAGAAAGAAACACTCAACATATAATGTTGAACGATGTTGAACGTAAAGAAAGTTGTAACCCAGAAAATCGATGGCTTAGTCCATAATAATTAATAATACCACTTTTAGCTGAACTATGTGAAATTCGATGTTTCCAAGATCACATACATTATCGCCCATTATCTGCTTTAAAAATTCATCATCATAAGAAGGATAAAAGTGTTCTACAACTAATTAGGAGATCAGTTTCTCTATAGGAAAATATGATGAAAAAGAATAAAATGTTTTTATTCTAGCAAAAAGTATTGAATTATTAATAAAAATATATACTATATATATTCGAATTTTCAAAATTCAATTTTATTTTTTTAGGTTGAGCAGCACTGAGTTTGGTTACGACCGAAAATGAACAGGAAATTCTAGGTGCAAGAAGGTGCCTTTTTTATCATTTTTTCAGATGGTTTAAATTCAGATGGTTTCCTATGGTTTAAATAAATAAATGTATATAAAATAAATAAATATAAAAATTTATATAAATAAATGATTTAAATAAATCCGAAAAATCAATAATAAATAAATAAAAAAATAACTAAAAAAACTAATAATAAAACTAATAATAAACAAAAGCAAATAAAATCATGCTAGAAATTATCCTATTTTTATGGTCTTCCTCCGTGTCTTCTAACATTCATGCATCATTTAATGCTGGTTGAACCGGACCCAAATAGTAAAGCCACAGGAAAGGACTTATTCCTTTTTATTATTTGTTACTTTAATCAATAATTTATCTAAATAGTAAATATTTAATAATGAATGGTAGCAAATATTTACGAAAAACGTGGATAAATCAAGCTGATGATGGAGACAATTGCTTCTTTCATAGATTATTCTTAGAAAATTTCTTAGATTTCATAAATTAAGAGTTAATAAACAATTCGATTTTCGAATTTAACAAATTTATGAATTTATTCAGTAAAGCTTATAAAGAAGGGTTAAAAGAGTTTATGAGAAGAGTTCGCTTCTTCTGGCTGTGGAAGTTCACAACATTCAATTTCCGATATTTATCCATAGGAAATCAGGCAGGAAGAGTTAATAATTAAATAATTAGTAAGAAAAAGAAAATAAGCTTATTTTATTCGCTTCCTTTATCAATATAGTCATCATTTAATTTTTCTTCGCTCTACAATAAACGAAAGGATCAAAATCGCACCCTTTAGAGGATAAGATAGTCGAGTAGAATGTCCAAGCAACGTGGATTTAATTCCTGTGCCTTGCCGGAATTAAACCTGTAATTTAAAGCAATAACCACGCAATGCTGGGAGCTCACTAGCGAAACAGTCTCAGCCAACTGAACTAGAAACAGCGATTAGACGACGACTGTTCTCAAATATAACATTCCTATCATCAAGAAATCTGTGACCAAATCATAAAACAATTCGACTTAAAAAAAAATTTGAATAGCAAGATTTAATTTGTTTGTTGGAAAAAGGAGGGATCCTAAAATGATACTTGAAAAATGCTGAAGAAACTCTAAAGATTATAAATGAATCGAAACTCAAATATGAAAAATTGAAATATGATTTTTTCAAAAAAGTTTAGGTTAAAATTTTAATCTATCATTATGAATAAAGTTGTGCAAATGGATCATCCATTTATATTTCTATCCTCAAGCAAATCTCAAATAAACGAAAGGATTTCATTCTTCAGTCTGAATAAAAAATAAAGCAAATATAAATAGAAAAATAGAAAAAAATAAAACAAATCTAAAAAACAAGAGTTTGGTCTGAAATCATCAGTGAGAAACCAGTGAAATATAAATTTTCGTCTTTTTCAAAATGTCGAATAAAAGTTGGAAATTTGGAATTTTTTAAAATTCTTTGTAATTCTTCGGGCAAATTTAGCAAATAAAATGGAAAATACAGTAAGCAATTTATAATAATAGAATAAATTAAATAAAATAAAATTGCTAATTGAAGGCACCAACAATTAATTAGTTTTTTAATCGTTATAAATTCATTTATTCAAAT